CTTCCAACTCAAACCGTTCTGTGATGCTGATGTTCTCAGGAGGAAGAATGCAAATACATCCATGTTGTCCATTTCTGGAGTGCTTGCCTCAAGGACACAGGGATCCTGAATTCTCAGTTTGCCTGATTCAAGCCCTTCTAATTTTATGTGATTGGAAATACTAATTAGTTAATCCTGAGGCTTGGTTGAGGGTGATCACTCGGAACAGTCATTCTTGGCTTCTGGGAATACAGGCATCGAGCTTTCTAGAGTACTGGGAGTAGGTGAAAAGCGGGAGGTTTTGGAGATCTGCTTTAGCTTTAAAGTGGTCAAAAGGTGTTGCTAATACCCCTTCAGAATGGGCACTCCCATAGGCAGTGTATGCTGCAGGCTGAGCGTAATGGAGAGGTGGTTGAAACCCTAGGGACAGCAATCTTGGGCCAGTTCTGGCTAGCTGTATTGAAAACATTCTGAATTCTACTGGCACTCTGCAGAAAGTGCAGAAGTCAAGACTTCACAAGTGGTACAGTGATCGAATAGAGTTGAACAGATGCTCTGAAGGAAATGGGGTGCTTGCTTTGGTCCAAATCACAACTTTGCCGTGCATCTCAGCTCTTCTCGGTGCAGGGCACTGTGCAGCTAGCACTGGTCAGCTCTCCTTGAGCTGCAGCTAGCTGTATGGTGAGATTTGAGAGAGTAGATTGCCTCTTGCTTCCGGTGGCTTATGCATTGTGTCGGAATCTTTGCTGATTAATGAAACAATGTCCGTCCTTGAGACAGTGGATACTGCATTCTGTGACTTACGTTCAAAAAGCAGGTGCTTCTCTCTGCTGATCTTTTTCTCCAGATGTGAAGAAGTCTGACTTTGTGCATCTTTGTCTTCTCCAGGCCTGGCAGTACCTGGGAACCACTCAAGCAGAGAATGAACAGGAGCTTTTGGCCATCAGTGCCCTCAGACAGTGAGTGTTGCAGAAGAGCTGCAGAGCGTGGCTCCTACTTTAGCCACTGTGGCGCTACGCCCTAGCGTGGTGCGCGGTCTCGTCTGTGTTACGTACTCTACCTGGGTGTCTCCCAGACTGGTTGCGTACTGTACTCACTTGTCTTCCTCGGACGTGCAGGTGCTTGGAATTGCAGCCTGGGAACCTCACGGCACTTATGGCATTAGCGGTCAGCTTCACCAACGAGTCCTTGCAGAAGCAAGCATGTGAGACCCTGCGGGACTGGCTACGCCATAAACCGGACTATACCCACCTGCTGGAGAAGGAACCGGAGGAGACTGTCTCTGGGACAAACCTGGGATCTTCCAAGCGTGTCTTAAGTTCCCTACTGTCTGAGTGAGTTAGCCTTCAGCCAAAAGGCTTCGTGGAGGGTTGGGACTGGTCCAGGCAGCAGCAGAGGGGGCAAGCCAAGGGCAGGCCTCTCCCCAGTACACCAGTATCCTTGTTCTGTGCTTTTCCAGCTCGCTGTTCGTGGAGGTGAAAGAGCTGTTCTTAGCAGCTGTGCGCAGCAACCCCTCGACCGTGGATCCTGATGTTCAGTGTGGCCTGGGCGTCCTTTTCAACCTTAGTGGCGAGTACGAGAAGGCTGTGGATTGCTTCAGTGCCGCGCTCAGCGTGCGCCCCAACGTAAGAAAGGGCGGACTGTGGATGCTGGAGATACCTGGAGGTTTATGGGTGAAGGCTTGGGTGGTGGTGCTGCTCGTATGAGAGGTACATTTTTGGAGCAGAGGAGTAAGACAGACACATGGGGAAGGACGAGTTGGTTTGGAGCTTAAAAAGATCCAGTTAATCTCAGCTCTTTCTCTCTGCCCCCTCCTCCAGGACCATCTTCTATGGAACAAGCTTGGTGCCACCCTGGCCAATGGGAATCGGAGTGAGGAAGCTGTGGCCGCGTATCGTCGGGCGCTGGAGCTCCAGCCGGGATACATCCGCTCTCGCTACAACTTGGGCATCAGTTGCATCAACCTCGGCGCCCACCGGTGAGCACAGGACGGGCAGATCCGCCGTGACCCGCGTGCGTGAGAGAGGGACTGCGACAGGTTACGTGGGCGGTGCCACGCTGCCGGCAGCTTCCGTTGGCGTAGGAGAGCAGAGCGAGTGCGTGGACTCTGCCCCGGGAACAGTGTGTCACGCAGATGCAGTTGGAGCAGGGACCATCTGGACTTTGGTTTCTGTTAGGAGGGAAAAGGGGGATCTGTGTTTCTGGAGCAGGGCAGGGTCTGGTGAAGAGGAGGAAGCCGCTTTGGAGGGGGCGTACTGGGGGAGGAAATATGAGCTATATTGTCGTCTCCAGTAAGCGTGTGTATGTTCTCATGTTGACAGTGAGGCCGTGGAGCACTTCTTAGAGGCTTTGCACATGCAGCAGAAGAGCCGAGGTCCGCGGGGGCAGCACGGCGCCATGTCTGACAACATCTGGAGCACCCTCCGTATGGCCCTCTCCATGCTGGGCCAGAGCGACCTGTATGGGGCAGCCGATGCCCGTGACCTTCCCACGCTGCTTCAGGCGTTTGGCCTCCCGCAGTGACTCTGGGATGGGCTCCCCTGCGAGTGCAGGCTTGGCCCAGCCCAGCAGTGACCTTCCTTGGGAGACGATGTTCACGAGGGTTCGCGTGTACCTTTGCTGTCGTAGGGCGGATCAGTGACAGCTGTGTTTTCAAGGACCTCCCGCTGAAGCGTGCAGCTCCCCCTGACCTGTCTCTAGTGGCCTGAGCATCTCTGAGCGGCTGACGTTACCGCCTCCATGACTGACTGACGTGCTGCTGGTAGGCGGATGATCCGAGCGGGAAAGACTGTAACCCCCCAGCCCTCTTGCCAGGCTGCTTTGCCAGCGGTGCCCAGGTTGGCTACGAGACCTTACTTAGGGGTAGCCATTCTGCGGAGACTGCCTGCTGGACGTGTCTGGAGCGCAGGTTGCTTCGGTGGGGTGGGATTGCCATTTGGTAAAAGAGTGACAAATTCTGGGTTTTGAGCATGCTTCCCCCATGGATGTGCTTGCATGTGTGTATGTGTGGGTTGCTAGGGAAAACTGGGGGCTGTAGCCCCCTTTTCTGGGTACTGGTAACTTTGTGGTACAGCCAGATGCTAGTTTCTTCGTGTCTCTTCACGAACCTTTTAAGAGCAGAGTATTGTACTTACGTACGAGGGACGTAGGCAGAGACCCTTAGACTGTCAGAGGAGATCCCAGAGTTTGGATTTGAGGGAATGTAATAGGAAAAAAAGAAGTTCTAAAGTGTACCCTCCCCACCCAGAATACGGTGGGGAAAGGGTCAAGTCTTAATTTTTCACTTGATCACCTGTCATGGTTCTCTTTTGTGCAGAAATTCCCCGTCTTGTGTGCAACTGAATTTTGTTAATTATAAATATCTGTATATGATTCTATTGGGGAGAAAAAAATGTTTTTAAATTGTAAAGTATTTTGTATAATAAAGAGGGGGGGAAATTAAAATTGCCGAAAGGACCTCTTTCTCTGTGCCTCTGTTGGAGCTGCCTGCGGCGGGTGGTATAGAGATCCCTGGGGGTATAAGCCCACTGGTTTTCAAAAGATAGGTCAGAGTCTCAGTTTGTCTCCTCTTTTGGCCCAGGTTGGGTTTTTATTGACAGCTCATACGCACACGAAGCTTGAAGGACCTCGTTTTGCTGTAGCCTCAGGCCTCAGTTCTGTGAGCCGTCAGAAGAACTTCCCCGTGCCAAAAGCTCTTTTCCCTTGCTGAGGGTTTGGGGCTCAACGAGGCGCTTTTTGTCGTCGCTCTGCCGTGGGACAAACTGCGTTACGTTTCATTGCCTCTTTGAGGAATCTGGCTGCTGCAGTCGGGACGGAGCTTAGGTGGGGACCCTTCGTCTCCCACCAGGCACCTGTTCCTTCATACCTCTACCTCTCAGGCTTGTTTTTCTCACTGCGGTAGCAGTCAGGAGCAGAAAGTGTGTGCAGAGAACAGTTCTTGCTGTATGTTTTTGGAGCTCTAGCTTCCCCTGTGTCTCCCGTCCGGCACCGAAACCTGCGTGCGCTGTTCCCCGATTACCGTGATGCACGCAAACGGTTGGCTGCTCACGCGCTGCTGGTCGGAGATGCCCTTTCTGCTTCTTGCTCATCTCTGGGCCTTCTGTCGGATTCTTCTCTGCTTAGCAAAAGAAAACATTGGTGCCTGTGCTGCTCCTCACCTCCTGTCCCTCTCACCACCCGTTTCGTTTGCCTCTTTGCTGCACCACGTCCCGCTCTGCTCACACCGCTGTTGTCACTGCTTGGCCTTCCCTTTTTCTCATCCCCGAGTGCCATAGTGCTTCTCCTCTCCTGGGCTTTCTAGTTGTCTCGATTTCATTGCCGTTTGGCTTCACCTCCTGACTCTGTGCCCGGTCTCCTTCCTCGTTGCACGTTCCCTCCTGTCCTTGCAGCTGGAGTGGGCCGTTGCCGTTTGTTCTCTTCCCTTTCAATTGCGCTCACTTTCTTCCCTCGCTCCCACCTTAGATCATTCCACAGCATCTGTGCTACCTTTGAGGCCACGTCCTCACCCTGTTGAGTCTCCGAGGGCTGCGTGGAGGTTGAGCTGGCTCTGTCCCGTCTGCCTGACCTTGTCCTGTTAAGAACTCTCTTTGGAAGCGGGGTGTCGGTGCAGGGAAGAGCGACTGGCTGAGGGTATCTGTATTCTGGTTCCCGTTCGCACCTTTTGCCTGCCCTCTGCAACCCAGTCTCTCTGCACCTCCAAGCCAGGCCGGCGCTGAGGCTCTGTGAGCATCTTCTTGTCTGCACGTCTAGCCACGTCCTCTGTTGCCCAGCCCTGTAGTACAGCGTGGGGGTGGGTCGCAGGTACCGAGCGAGTTAGAGGGGTGCTTGGAGGTCCCTCACCAAAGTACAGAACAGGGGCAGGGCTTATCACCGCTACCAGCACGTGAGGGATCCCAGCAGGCCCTTCTCTGTTCTTTACCAAATCCATGGGCACTGCAGGACACAAGCTGGATCTTTCACAGGGCACTGGGCGTGTGGTCAAAAGGTTCAGTACATGCCCTCTGCCACGCTTCTTGCTGTGTTTCTGCTGTATTTCTTCCTTCTGCGTGCTGCTTAAGGCCCCACAAAATCTTAGAATCTCTTGTCTCTTGGTGTTGGCCTTAACACCCAGCTAGGAGGTACCAGCAAATGAGTTTGTGCTTTGAGATCCTTACACCTCTAGCCACAGCTTCCATACTTGTCAGGAAAGTGGGGGTGCTGCCCTCGTGTCCTCTGCGTTACCGCTGCCCTTTCCTCATACCGAGCTGCTGAGTGTTGTTAGGATCCTGGGTTTTTGTGAGTTATGACCCCCTGATCTCTTGTTTTGGGTCCCAGGCTCCTGCCTATTTTTGCCTGTGTTTTGAAGTCTTTCCAGTCTGGAAGGGGCTCGGACTAATCCTTCTCAGGAGGAATGCTCCTAGGGGTGGTGACCTGACGTGGGTGGTTGTGAAGGAAGTGTAAGGGCAAGCATGTAGGGGGCACTCCCCTATTCCCTAGGGATCTGCTCCCTTAAAGACTGCCTGACCCAGAAGTTGCATCAGTGTGTTTGGACAACAGCCTTGGATGAATTTCTCCTCTGCTTGTGTCTTGCTCTTTAAACCAGGGGGTGCTTCTGGTCTCTGCAGTGTCTTGTGAACGAGCAGAAGAACTGTGTTGAGATTTCCAAAGTATTTTCTTTTGGTTTAAGCCTGTTGCCTCTTCCTTTGTGCTCTTCTGCTTCTGGTACTGTAAGACACAGCAAAGAACACGGTTCTACTGCTCCCCAGGG